TAGGGGTGTTCATGGTCCAGTTTTAACTGAAAAAAACCGTCAATCCGGACCGCGGATCAGTTAAATGATCAGTTAAAAAAGCCTTAAAAAATTTGGTGGTTAATTTTTTTAAAAATCCGGAATAACCGGACCGGTTAACGGATTACCTGCGACAAACTGCCAATTTAACCGGACCGGACCGGTGAATATTAAAAAACTATAACAAATATATATATATATACATTCAGTCATTCACTATGGCCGACAAATACAATACATTCACTATGAATGCTTTACTCTTATTATTTCAGGTGTATAAACTGACTGAAAATTAATGCTTGCTTGGGTTCAGTTTGCATAATTTAATCTTCACCATTTTTGTATTTTTATGTTTATGGGACGAAATGTGTATTTTTATACTTATGGGACGAATTGTATATTTTTTATTTTATTATTGTTGTTTTTCTTAATTTTTCGGCCCAAAAGAAATTGAAAAATAAAAATTAAGCCCAAAATGAAAAAATAAAAATTGAAGGCCGAAAACAAAGATTTTGGATTTAACTGGTTAACCGCCAAATCGGACCGTCCAATGCGGTCCGGATTGTGATCGGTTAAAAAATAAAACCGGTCCGATTATGGACAAGAAAAAAAAATAACCTTTAGGTCCGGTTTGGTCATGGTTTGGGCTAAAACCGGACCAATCCGGACTGCAAACACCCCTAGTAGTAGTTATCACGCAAAAATTCATATGTAATGGATTTAATTGGAGTTTCAAGATTGTTCAAAAATACTATATCAAATCTTGAAGTGTTAATTAAATTGTATTCTTCACCAAATATATTAATAACATTTTCTGTGTTCTGCGAGGTGAGTAATGCGACTATATACTGTGAAATGGCACCGAATTAAAATAGAAAAGAAAATTTCAAATTGTAAAATTCTCAATATGAACCGCACTAGAGCTGTAAACGAACCGAACGTTCGCAAACAAAAGCTCGTTCGTGTTCGACAAAAGCTCGTTCGTTTGTTAATCGAGCCGAATTCAAATAGAAAATTAGGCTCGTTTAATAATCAAACGAACACGAGCTCGTTCGTGAACGTTCGATTATGTTCGCGAAGATTAATTTCATATAATTTATTTTATTTTTTATATATTTACATAATAGTTTTAATAAAATTCTAAAATTTAATATAATATTATTTATTTTCTATATATTTATATAATATATTTTATAAAAAATCTAAAATATAAAAATATTTTTATTTTATTATTTTATTTTCGAGTTAGACGAGTTCGAACGAGCAAATCTCGAGTTAATCAAATATATTTAAAAAGTTTATGTATTAAATTATTCGAATACGAACAAACTCGAACTTTGACGAACAATTAAACGAACGAACTTGAACATGATTTTTTGATCAAAAAATAAACAAACGAACACGAACACTGTTCGAACGTAAACGACACGAGCTCAAACAGCCCAAGCTCTCTTCTGTTCGGTTCGTTTACAGCACTAACTAACTAGCATAAGGTCAAATACATGAACTTCATTTAGGTAATGATAATCTTTTTCAATGCACAATTTGCTCTACTNCAAAATAATAGAAATATTATTAAACTCCAAGACTACAGCTAATTGGCCACTGACAATACAAATCGCCTTTGCACTTAATGCACCAAACACAAAGGTGAAAGAAGACTCAAATGAGGAGATCCATCCAAAGTCCGCACTAGACACAATACTCCCTTAGTGGGAGATAAAACCACTTCCAAAATGGGAGACACAAACACTTCTCAAGAAGATCCCTGATGGAGAATGGAGATCTTTAATTTAATTAATTATATATTTCCTTTATTTAGTAGTATTTTAGATTTGTTAGGAAATTTATTTATGTATTATATTTATTAGAATTCTTGTCTTGTTAGACAAGTAAGTTTAGGGCTTTTGGGAGTCTTATTTAAAGACCCCTCCTACATTGTTTTATGCAGTTGATTTTTTAATGAGAAAACACGTATTTGAGATTGAGATCTTTTTTCTTTATTCCCATCTATACTTTGCGCTACATCAATTGGTATCAGTGGCTGATCATCGATGCCGCCGCGAAGACAAGATGCTGCAGACGACAAGCGTGACTGTTGTTGTATGAAATTAACAACGAAAAATTACAAACAGTTGAGTGTGTTTAAACAAAGATTAAAGTAAAATTTGATTTTATTTGATATAGTCACAAGAGTACAGGAGTCGGTTCTTTTTTGTTAACCGAGATTATCTTAAGTCCATGTACAATGTGTTGGAAAAGATCCTCGTACTATCATAAATTCTGCTATTTATAGTACGGTAATTTTTGTCTTCTTGCTCGAAAATGGATAAGGACGTATTTAATGTTGAGCTGCTTTACTTTAAGCGATGGGAAACATCAATGATTACTTTTCCGTTTTGCTGGTCCAATCAAATGCTTCCAGCTTTGTTTTCTGTTTGGATATTTGAACTTTGTGGCAGTCGGTTTACTCGCATCTGTTTCAATAGTCGGTTCCTTCGACAATCTCGGAAGTCGGTAATTAATTCTAATAAATACCGACTTGTCCTAAGTTTACCTTCTTCTGAAAGATTATTTCTTCAATAAAGTGATTAATCTCCGTCTTCAATTTTGTAATCAAGTCGGATACCAACAGTGACACCGCCAAAAATGAATCTGAGCACATTATTTGATAATAATAATGAAGACAAGTTTCTTTTCTTCTCTGTCCATACTGTGGCCAATCTGTTGGTTGTTTTCTTATTAAGTGGCATATGGTGATAATTTCGGTGACCACAAGGTTATTTCGATTTTACATCTATATTACATACAAAATAAATAAATAGTTTTATTTATCTTTATAATTAAAACTAAATTACCTATTAATATTAATTCTAAAAAATAAAATTATATAAAATAACTTAACTACAAAGTAGTTATCTGATATAAATTTCAAAAATATAATATAAAATAGTAAGTCGTGTAAGTGACAGTGTCATTTTAATATAAATAATAATATATATTTTTTTTTTCCAAAAAGTTTTAAAAAACTAAAATAATTTTTGTTGTTATTATTACTTAATTTTAAATATAATATTTTTAACAAATACCTGTGCAGTGCACGTATGTTATACTAGTAGATTTTATACCCTAAAATAATATGAGACAATAGGTTATATATTTGTCTAACATATGTTTAAAAATTTATGTTAAAAATAAACATAAAAGGAGTTCGAAAAATTATTTCAAGCATCAAATTCAAATATGTGGCATTAAATGAGAGACTAATGAATTATTTGTCGAATCACTATGTTAATTACTAAAATATTAAATATTCATAACATATAATTATTTTTTAAATTAAAAAAAATGAGGATGTTATTAGTAATTTATAATAGGACTATTAAATTTTACACACTTAAAATAATATAAAAATTAATGACAGAGAAGAATAAATAATTATTATATGAAATAATAGTTTATTTTATTTGTATTATAGATCGTCCCGTTGCACATGTATACGTGTCTTAGTTATTTCTTAATAAAAACAAATCTCTCTTAATAAAAAAAATCTCTTAGAGTAGGGCAAATGTGGGGATGAATGTTTTACTTATTTATTTATTTTTTTAATTTTTGCTTTGAAGTTTAAAAATATGTATATTATTAGTTAATTAATTATTTTTCTTTTTCCTCGAAAGAAATTGAATAGGAAAAATGGTACAGGTTTATATATATGTGGGGGGTTTTGTCACAATATAAGCCAAATAGTAAGCAAACAAAATGTCCCAGAAATTAATCGAGCAACTCATTTGGCTTTGTAAACACAATTAATCTTTGTATTTTAATGGTAGCAGTATATGTTTTTAAGTGGACAAGCATGAAACACGGACCGGTTTAAATTTGCCACATTACTTAATCCTACGTTAGTACATATGCACGCTTTCAATAATTTCTACTTCAAGCAATCTCTCTATGCTCCTATTTTGAATTTAATTTAATTTTTTATCCACTAATGTGACATAAAATAGGTATCATATATATTTCGGATGTTATAATAAATTTGCAAAATTGATCTTTTCGATTAATTGAAAGTTTTCGTATCTCAATTATGATGACACTCAAGTTATACACATTTTTTGAATCGTGACTAACTTAATTAACGGTTAATGACACTCAAGTTATACAATTTTTTCGAATAATGACTAACATAATTAACTGTTAATTTCAATTTATCGGTGATTTTAGTGTAATCATGATTTTTTTTNNNNAATTAACACACATCTATATGAATATGTGAGTGTTCATCTTCACTTTAAAAAACCTGTATAGAGTCTACTCATCCCTTAACTTACATAAATAAATATAAACAAATTCCACTAATTTGAGATCAACCTACCACACTAATGACTATAATATCATAACTATAATTATAAATAGATAGATAATTACCCATTTTCACTCGTCCTGCCGTGCCGTCCCAGTTACTCATGGCACTTGATTAATTTTCATTGATTGTAAGAAAACATACACTGTTCAAAAAATTATGGTTATTCATAGCTTAGCTTTTGTTGCTCAAGAATCATTGATCATAAGTAACAACATGAAAAATAAAATAAAATAAAATAATAATGAATCATTCATGTGACATATTACTCCAAAACTTTAATTCTCTTCTCATGATCATAAAATGTACACACATGGATCATATCACACACATCATCAACTTCATTTTTGAGAACTCTANGAAAAAAAAAAAAAAAAAAGATGATCACATCCCAACTAACCATTCTCAAAGCTCTTAATCAATGGTGCAATGGGTTCGGTCCCGAAGGCACGAGTCGCTTCTCCACACCGTAAAGCGGGTCGATATCATTTTCACTCTGTGGGCCCATTTTTTTCTTGCGATTGCGGTGCTTTACGAATGACGATAAATCGAACTTATTGGCCGAGGCCAATGATTTTTTATGCACGACGGTCGGTTGATGAAACCCTAATAAGGATGAAGGCCCATTTATCTTTGAAGTGCTTTGGAGGAACTTGAAGTTGTGAAAATCATGAAATAGCATTAGGATGAGAAAAAATAAAAGAAGAGGAGGAAAAAAGCTAGGGATTTTCATGGCCATGTTGAAGAGTAATGGTGAAGGAGGGGAAGTGTTTGAAGGTGAAGCATGGAGGATTGAAATAAGGAGAAAATTTGGCT